CGAAGAAATGGTGAATTTCAATGTCTAATTCTAAAGATGCTGGTAGCTGCGGTTTATCGAGCAATTTTTTTGTTATTCGTTGTTTTAGATTGGGTTTAGGTTTGGGGTTATGATGAGGGCTCGTAGATGTGGTTGATAAGTACTTAGGGTTTCATCGTGGACTCTGAGTGGGGCGATTGAATAGTCTTGTGAGGTCTGCATAGTTGGTTTATAAATTTGACGGTGTAGTGGAATAAAAATCGTGGTTATTAATGGATTCAAAGGTTCTTCGGTGTGAGTTCGTTGGAAAGCCGAAAGTTTGGGCTACTTGGTTGTTATATGGAGAGAGAGCCTGTGCTGTTGAGAAGGGTTGTCGGTGAGTTTAGGAAAGAAACAGTGGTGATTAGTTGAGTTTCTGACTGATATATGGGAGACAAAGTGTTATCAATAGGACCAAGAAGTATCGATAACTAGCTGTCGATTCAAGTTTGATTGAAAACTGATTGTCATTCTATGAAAAACTAACGAAAACGTGATTGCTCCACTAATGTTTGAAATTGTTTTTCGGTATGGTTATGATTTGGCGGGATTTTAGAGTTTGAAAAGGTTGAACAGACCTTAAAACTGTTGGATTTATACATATGACTCTCTGCTGCACAGTGTTTTCAAAAAAGCTTTTACTTTCTGATTTCGCTTCGTTTTTTCTTTCCTTTCGAATTTTGAACTGAAAATTCTAATTCAGTATATCCATTAAAGTTATATATATCTACAACAATGGTCAGCGGAATCCACGAACAAATCTCGAAACATTTAATAACTAAATCGGTGGATGTCACCTTTTACTATTTTGGAAACACAAAACCGAATAAATTCAAGACTTGGAGTCATTGGCTTGAGAGTGTATGGAAAAACAACACACAGTATATAGCTAATTCGAGTCAGTATTTGGGATTGCGTCAATGCCAAATACTTGTTTTGGAAGCATAAATCGAATAAATTCAATATTTGGAGTCATTGGCTTGAGAGTGTATGTAAAAACAACACACAGTATATAGCTAAATTGAGTCAGTATTTGGGATTGCGTCAATCCCAAATACTGATTTTGGAAGCATAAAGCCGAATAAATTCAGTATTTGAAGTCATTGGCTTGAGAGTATTTGGGATTGCATAAACCCCAAATACTGGTCAGTATGTGGGATTTTATCAACTCCAAATACTGATGATCTAGTAGATTCCGATTCTAGTGAATTGAGATCGAATTGAGATCGAAGTTGACAAGATTTGAGATCGAAATTGGGTTGAGAGGAGTTGAGACCAAACGTTTGGTATTTCAACTGGTAGTTGATAAATGCAGTAATTCAGATTGATTTTTCTGGTGACCATCTAGTAGATAAAAGATTTAATTTTAAATGCTATACCACACATATACTTATATGTAAACGGAATCCGCAAATGAAATGCCGATTCCAGTTAATATTTGCGGATTCGACTTATAATTTGCGGATTCCGCTTACAGTTGCTACATTTTCACTATACAAAAGTCTTAATATTTGTTTGTGGATTCCACAAACTGTTCTGGATTCCGCAAATACGGTTGCGGATTCCGCAAAATCGCCTATTTTAGGAGCGATTTTGAGCGGTTCAGTGTTTAGGTATTTGTTTGTGGAGTTCAAAACAGCAAAAAAGATCGAAGAAAAGCAGCAAAGTTGCGGATTCCGCGACGAATCTGATTTTGGCCTGTTTCGGAATCCGCTTACAATGCACCGAATGCACAGTTTTGCCTCGTATTGCTGTCCATAATTTTTTGTTAACACAAAATGGTTAAAATTAAGACCTTGAGAACCAACAAAATTGCTACACAGACTCTTACGAGACTCGTGATCACTACAATGGCTATGAAGTGGAATAAAAAACTCGACTGAACCATTTGGTAAGCTACACTAAATGACAAAAAGAGTCGCAAATTCAGCTTTCCATTTCTACGAAGAAATTTAAAGACATTTCTGGACAACATTCATTTAGAGTTTCAGCAAGTTTTTCTACATCTACTGTGAGCAAATAATCTCAGCTAACACCTCTGCAACTAATAATACTTGGTTGAAGATCTACCATTTTTCTGCGAGTTTGAAAGGGCTAACCATGTAGCAGAAATTGCAGCAAAGCAGGTTATTTAAATGGTACTAGGGGAGGTTGCAAAATCAAATTGATTGATTTATATTTAATGCAAAATAGTTGGCGATATCAATTTCGATCAACAAATCTGAACGACGTTAATAAGCCTAAAAATGCTCATTTTGTCGTCGAATTTAGTTTTCAACTGATTTCAAAAAGTAAAAAGCGTTTCCAAAAGTTAATACAAGACTGCTCGTATCAGGGCGAAGCTCTGAAGTTCCGACTGCCTTTTAACGTTTATGGAGCAGTAGTAACATAAAAAACTAAATGTAATAAAATAAAATGAAAAAAAAAATTTTTTCTAAAATTTGAAAATTTTTCTATGAAAATCATCCCCCCACACGCCATATAAAGTACAAGACAATAGATTTCGCTCCTTTTAACAAATTAATTATGGCAAATAAGCTTCTTTCAACCAATTTGAAACGATTTCTAAGACGGATTAACTCTCCGCTTACGCGTTAATAGCGCGAAATATATCGCGCGTTAATTGTCCCAAATTGGCCAAAATGCAAATCTTTAAACCCCCATAACTTAACGAAAAATGATCACAGGTGAAATATCTTTTCAAATTTGAGCTCAAGACAACAATAGCTTTAGAATGATATAAAAAAATTCCGTCAAAAATGGCTAGTTAAAAAGTCGAAATTTGTCTGAAGAAAAAAAAACCCACCCCGAGCACAAATATTACGTTTTTTTCGTATCGAAAGTCGGAACAATAACAAAAAGGCTTGAGTTTTTAAATTGTTCAAGGTTAAATTGTTCAAGGTCACCGATATTGCCAACAACTTGGCATCAAATATAAAAAAATTGTGTAAATGTTTTTTTTTGTATAAAAAACTACCCCCACCCCTTCGACAAATCCCTATGCGCACAAACTGATCTGCAAGTACATTTTTCTTCATTCCTCGTGCTGTCGATATAGAAAAAGAAATGAATTGAAGAGTTGAACATAGTTTGAAAAACAATATGCCCTTACTCGAAATAATTACTTGATGATCCTTTTTTTTGCCATCCGCTCTTTCCGGGTGCGCTCTTTCTCGGTTTCTCTTTCTTTTAATGTATCAATGTCAAGATGCATCCGCGCCCTTTTTTAAAAGCTTAATTAAAGTCATCTAATGTTTCAATGTGACGCATAAACAGAGGGTGATTACTCGCCTAAAAAGCCGAAGTACAAGATGGTAGAAACAAAAGTTGCTCCAATAAGGGTAATAAAAACAATAAGTCTTTTTACCTGAGCTTTACCCATTTGCATTGAGATTTACTTGCATTATGTTTTAAGTAAAATTTTTATTCTTTTTTAGGTTGTTTTTGGTTTATTAATATTGAACCAAAACCTTTGAACATGAAAAAGAAGAGCACATGTGGCTTTGGTTTTATTTAGTTTTTGTTCAGTTTTTTTTTCATTGCCGTAAAAATGGTCCAATCTGTTGGGTTCTTTAGCTCATAATTACCAACAATTTAATTTAGAAATCAAGTTAACATCCCCCCTCCCTAGATATTCTTCAAAAGTAAACTTCGGATTTTTTTCATGATTCATTTCCAAATATCAAAACTATGAAATTTCGTCCCTAGAGCAGAAAAAAATCAAAATACTCCTTACAGAGAGGACCATCTGGTCTTCTTGATTGGCCTTTACGTTTTGTAATTTCCCCTTGTTTGCAACCAGAAGGGCAAATATTACAGGACAGATATTACAGGGGGCACCATACGGCAGATTGTCGAGTTGATCAGCTGGGACTCAGGATGTGCTTTCTCTATGGTTCCTGTAATTAATATAGAATACGCGACCTCAAAGTTGACTTCAACATTCCAGTTCATTTTCAGATGCATTAATTTTATGCTAATATAATGGGCCGAAAATAATTTAGAATAATTAAAAAATTGACCTCAAACATTCCATTTCACTTTTAAATGCATTATTTTTATGCAAATATAATTGGCCGAATATAATTTTATATAGAATAATACAAAAAATTGACCTCAAACAATCAAATTCATTTCAAAAATGCATTAAATTTATGCCAATAATAAATGGCCGAGAAAAAATTTTTCAATTTGATGTCTCATTTGAAAAATTGCTAGCAACAAAAAAAGCACCAATTCGTTCATTTTTAAAAAAATAAATATCAAACTTGAGTGACAAAAGAGAGTCAAAAAACAAACACAAAATTAATCGACTTTTCTAATTCAATTTTTAGAAATCGAATACGAGCTCTCTCAAAACGCTGGAAAGATTATATTTAAGAGACCATAGTTTAGAGATATATTAACAATTGCGGCGAATAATAATAACAAAATGGCACGAATTCATCTATTTCGTGCCATTTTGTTATTATTTTTCTATTTTAGAGACCATAATTAAGAGATATTAGTAATTTGAAGCCAAGGGAAAGGTGAGCAAAAATGAAGTTGATAGGTGAAGTGGAAAGGCAAGCAAACACTTTTTTCTACATAAATTAAGCCATAAAAGAATTGAAATATTTTTTTCACATTTTTCTATTGGTCAATGGCAGTTTTTATTCAAAAAGATGGCCAATAAAAACATCTCCAAAAAAATTGTCAATTTATTCTCAGTTAAAACGATAATTTACTTTAGCTTAATTTTTGAGATCAACATAGTATTCAAATTACAATTATCCATTGAGGGATTGACAGTTTTTTTGAGTTTCGAAGAAAAGTTGTCGTCAAAAAATTTATACTTGGATGAAAAATACTCTGAGGATCATTATTGATTCATTGAATTACCGGTCCGTTTTATGGGAACTAGTTTTCGTAAACATTCAACATTTCTTTATCCCAATATCGAAAGTGCTTTAGTTTTGTTATTTGAATAAAACTGACCAGTTGAATAAAAACTATTGTTTCGAGATGGATGTTTTAAACTTTACAAATTTGACAGAAACGGACGAAAAAGTTCGATATGTGCTTTCCATTCCTGAAAAAATTGCTCAACATATCATGTGGCCCACGACTATTGCCGCAATTATTGGAAATTTCCTTCTTTTACTCGTGTTTTCCCAGAGAGCGCTCCTTAAAGCTCACGATATGCTAATTGCAACTCTGTCCTGCTTCGATCTTGTTCACGCTTTCATGAATATTTTCAACTATTACTTGATGTACAAAATAAACGATCTCTTCCCAAAGTTTAATTGCTTTTTCAACAACCTGCTCTACCATTTCGTACTACTTTCAAGGTAAATGAAACATAAATTAGTCGAAAAAGAAAAGAATATAAAATAAAGTCAACCTTTCTGTTGGCGAAACCTTTCTGTTGGCAAAATTCTGTTGGCGAAACCTTCTGACGGTAACGCAACTTTTGTCATTGTTGTTGTTGTTTTCAGGGAGGAGTAGGTTTTGAAACTATTTAAAAGGTATTTTTATGTTGACAGGTTTCACTGGTCCGGCGTGAATTTAAATTGAGGGATACCCATTTTCTCAGAGATTCCAGCTCTTCACTACCTTGGCATTACTTAACAACATCTGTTTTTTGTCAACCAACCCTAAATGGTTCTAAGTGCGCACTCGGCGCCAATAGGCACTGTTTTGATTGGGGAGCTCGTGTCACAAAAACGAAAAAAAATTTGACCAAACTTCCAAAAACTTCTCAGAGTTACTAATTTTGGTAAATTTTTTACAGCGGCTCATTTATTTGTCATTCGATGGCTTCGGCCCAGTACAAAATATTTGAAATTTCATATAAGTTTGTCAACAAAAAGGTTGAAACAAATCAAAAACGCCGAAGAAATTGGGGTTTTGCCCAAAAATTTGGGTTTTTTCAGGATGCGGCGCTCTTTCGTAAAACTAAGAAAATTAATTAGAAAAACTTTGGGGTTCGTCGGCCAAATTGAGCGTGATGAAATAGTACCAAAGGGAGGGTTCTTGAGTGGCGAGGGCACATATCTGGGGAAAAGGAGCGACGCCCCACATAAACCCGCTGCTCGGATTTAAAAAAGAATTAAAAAGGACCAACTCAGCGGTTTTAAGAACGCGAATTGTTGTACATTAGTAACAAAAAACATCTTTTTTATTCCGAGCACTCAAAGAATGGCCAGGGTCTTGGATTCGGATAGTTTTTTAGCCTATTTTGACTAACTCGTAGAGTTTCGAGTGTGGTTTCATATTGCAACCGTTTCGGTCGTAACAGCGTCGAGAAAAATTGGTCTGCATTTTTAGTTTTTCAGACTAAATTAGTCGAAACTTCTGATGAGAAGCTGCTCTCTCAATTGTTAAAATTATTTAGCTAAGCTAACAGATATTCTTGCATTTGTTTTGATTCAATGGCTCTTTCTAGAAAAACAACAACAACATATTCAGGCAAAAATCGAAGAAATGTATATATTTTTGATGTTACTAGTTTTGGTCGGAATTTTCTCTTCTATTTGCACAGCAACCGACTATACTTGTTCAGTTATTGGACATACTTAAAAAAGTTAAACTATCGTTTAAATTTTTCAGTTTGTACGTCACATTTATCTACAGTCACGGGACATAGAAGTTGTAAATTTTTGACCTCAGCGTGCAAATGAACAATCATCAGCGCGAAATGTTCATAAATTTTGGCCGATTTTTGACGCCTGACCAAGTAATTTTTTAATTCTCTTATCTCTTGTTTATTGGCGGCATAAACCATAAATCAAGCTCATCACTGTCCCAAAGAACTAATTTGAACCCATAAAATCAAACTCCTTACATTGCTTGTGGGATAGTTCCCACAGCAAGAAAACTTCTAAAAACTAGGGACTACTGGCTGTTTTTTGCCTTCGAAATAAGATTTCTAAGTTATTTCAAATATTTTCATCTTAGCATTTGGTAAAACATGAACGCAATTTCTTATATTTGGTAAAACATGAACGCAATATTTGAAGAGAAAATGACAAAAGTGTGAAAGCAAAATTCTTAGCATTTGGTAAAACATGAACGCAATATTTGAAGAGAAAATGACAAAAGTGTGAAAGCAAAATTCGTTCATTTGCTCGTTGAAACCACCAAGACTTTTCGTATAACAAAGCAAAGCCATGATTGTTCCGAATGCACTATAAGCTCAGATAAAAAATTTTTTATTGGTATATAACAAAATAATGAAAAAGAGAGTTTTTCATTTTTTTTTTCATTTTATCCCCCACGCTATGTGAATCACAAAGGTCGAGTTCAACTGGTTTCTCTTACTGGTTTAATAGGACTAAATTGCTGCTATTTAAAATACAAAGGGCGAGTTCAACGTCTCGTACTGGTTCAATAGGAGCCAAGTTAGCAATTTTCAAAACCCTTGAATTTTAGGAAAAATAATCACAGGTAAAATATCTTCTTAAGTTTGACCTCAAAACTACAAAGTCATTCAGATGGTATAAAAAAACGTCCAAAATAGTCAAAAATTGATTGAACAAAAAACCACCCTAAGCATAAGTTCTCCGCACTTTGTTTGAAAGTCAAAACAAAAAGTTGAAATTTTATGCCCCGTGTTTTATAATACTTTTTTCTGGTTTCTCGCAGTTGCTTCACTCTAATTGAGATCACCATCGACAGGCTACTGGCTGTATGCAGTGTATTGTTTCACCGAATCCACGCCACGAAGAAGCTCTGCTACGTCACAATTGCATGCACCCAGCTTCTCGTCATCTTCCTTGTCATGCCCTCGGCTGGAATCTGTGTCGACGGTAAGGAACTACTCGGAACTGCGTAACTTACTTCAATCAAACTTATAGATCCGAGAAGCCCCATTTTTGAGGAAAATGTCGCGGATCTCAAATTCTCAAAATGAACTGCACGATATTATGTGTGGGAGGATAATTTAGAATGTTCATCAGAAAAAGTGAAATCTTGAGCTAGCTTTCTAAAAAATATCTTGCCTATGACTAATTTTCGTAAAATCATGGAGACTTGAAAGTTTCCAATTGGGCCAACTTGGGGAACTATTATAGTGGGAGAAATATTAATTCGGCTCAAAAATTTTTCAAACTATCTGATTTTGTTTTACATTGCAAAAAGCTCATGGCATTAAAATGGCATTTTTGCTTTAAAAAAAAACTCAAAAAGTATGAAAAAAATCAGCTATGTTTTTTTAAATACTTTTTAAAAATTCCATTAATGACTGAAAATTAAAAAAAATACTCCAAGACATTAAGGGGCTTCCATTCGATACGAGTAGTCTTGTCCTTATTCAAATCAAAACTACGAGTTTTTTCTGAAACCTTTATTTCTGCTTTTTAGAAGACAAATTGAGCCAATATATTAAAATACATTCAACTTTGTTTTTAGAACTAAGAAGATCCCAATTCTGTATTCAAAATAATTGAAAAGAAAAAAAGCTTTCTAAAAACTGAATAAGACTGCTCGTACACTAGCGCGAAACCCAGGATGTTCCGACAGAAATTTAAGAACAATTTAAAAGAATATTTTTTTAAAAAAACGAAAAAACTATTGAAAAAACGCAAATTACTACCCCTCCCCCCTTCACATGCATATTTCAACCACAAAAGACTTTTTTGGCGTCTTGTATCCTATTAATACGACCAAACTACAGCCTTAATTCAACTTGGAACGCATTAATTCGCCTTGAACAAGACTGCTTGTATATCAGGGCGAAGCCCTGAATGCTCGGACTGAACTTTAAGGTCAAATTTAAACCTTTTTGCTCGAAAAAATGACAAAAGATTGAAAAAAAATATACTTTTTTCATATAAACGACAAACCCGTCAAAATCAAAAACTGCGAGTTAAAAAGTCAAACTTTGCCTGGAAAAAAACACCCGAGCACAAATGTTCCGTCACCTTGGTTGAAAATCGGAATAAAAACTTTAATGCTTTTGTGAGTGAGCAATTCTCTAAGTTATAATTAAAATTTACACAAAAAGATAACTATTTAAAAAAAAAACCTATAAAGTAATCAAAACGTTGCTTCTCAAAATGTTGCTGTTGGAGGAAAAAAATTCAGTTGAAGTGGATAAAAAGAAATTACAAGAATTCCTTTAACAAGTTTTGCTTAGAAGTTAAAAAAAACACTGAAAAAACTTTATTTAGAAGTTGCAATGAGTTTGCGATAACTAGGAGGGCGGCTATTATCTTTAGAGCTAAAACAAGGATGTTCAATTGTGGAGTTTCAAAATTTAATGTTACGTTGTTTGTTCTTTCGTTAGTAGTTCAGATCGACTGGCTTAAATCCATACATGAGTATAGCAAACTGAAGTGAACCAAAGATAAACTTCTAAAACAGCACCTCTGACCTTGACTATTCATAAAAAAACAAAATCATTAATATAATTACATAGCGCCAATAATACACTTAACTGCAACTGCAGTAATAAAACTATGTCCCAGCTCAAGGTTGCAGCAACCGCAAAACTAAATTCCCCTGAGGACCAAGAAAATTTTATCTTTCAAATAAAAAAAACATTAATAATATACTAGAATAATGAGAGTTTAGGACTCAATTTGATGAATAGGTGCGTCAATGAATTTTTAGTTTCAGCGTTCCAAATTTAGTGGCACTTTCCACTTGGCATCCCAAGTTCTGGAAATGTCGAGGGCGGCATACTCAAACTTTCGCCGAAACAAATGGGTCACCAGGAGTCCTAATCTTGTCTCCATTGGCTTGTCTGTCGATAGGCCTCCGAAGCTAGATGATTTAATTCAGCAATGGCATCGTCGGTACTGATCTCCTTTACTTAGTGCTGTTTTGAGCTGCCTAGACGTTTTGGCCCCTGATTTTTATTTGATCTCTTACTACGGCAGACTTTACTCCCGTCGGGTCATCTACGCTTGAATCATCAGAGAATCCTGATGGAGTGCTGAGTCCCCCCGTGGTATGTTCCTCCGAAGTCGTCTCTTTGGCGTTCAAATTTTCTTCTGCGGTCTTCTGTTTTCCCCTCGTTAAGACTTGGTCTGCTAGGTTCTCCCACTCTTCTGGGGCCATATCTTGCTGTTGAAAACTGTTGAGAATCGTGTTAGGGAATATGTCTCGATCTATCATTGTGATTTTAGTACTGCTTTTTTCGGTGATTGAGGACTGCTCGGCTTTTGGACTTCTTGCGTCCGCACACTCTCTACTGTTTTCGCCGATTCTCAAATGCAGCTTTTAATTTCTTTTTCTCTTGTGCAGTATATTTCTGCGGTTTTTGTTTCATAGCTACTTCCTCCTGGGTTATTTTGGTCCTATTGACTCTGGACCACCATGATTAGGTTTCGCTCTTTTAACCACTAGGTTTAGGCTGCCTCCTACTGGTGTGTCGTTTGATGTCAACACTGTGTCGCTATTCTGAAAGAGTTCATTTGCCTTGCTCTTCTTGTTGCTAACTCGGGGATTCTTCCCCAGATTCGCTTTCCAGTGGTGGCTGATGTTTTCTTTCGGCTGCTTGAGAGGACTTGTAAACTTGTCCTTCTGGCTCTCTTTCTATCCGGTATTTGGCAATCCTTTGAGTGATATTTTTGACCTCGTTAGATCACTTTTGCGGTAAATTGAACCCGCTGCTGTTGCGACCGTTGTAGGTGTCTCCGATACCACTGTGCCTCTCAGCGGATTCGTTAATGCTAATCCACTCTTCCAGTTTTCGTCTATGAGAAGAAGGTTCGGGGTAGTTCTGTGCTCGAAGATTTAGGTTTGTCTCTAAGAATCCGCGTTCCCAGGAATAGAGCAATTCATTCCTAAGGTCCGGATTATTCGTGATTGTGTCGCAAACGATCCTTCGAAGATCGTTCTCCGCTGAATCTCGCCTCCGGTAGTTCCACTTTGCGGTTGCCTCGAGTAACGCTTTAAGTGTCCTCGCCCGGTCTCTGTTGCATGCCGATGCAATCTGCTGCTTGAACAGCGGGCTGACCTCTCTGCTTTTCTGGCCTTTTCGTACAACCTTCAGTGAATCTCGGGTTGGGTCAATCCGTTTCTTCAATTGGCTGGCAGTGAGCTCGGACCTCTAAAAATGATTTTTATCTAAATTTTCAGAATTTATAAACATTTATCTCATATGATCTTAAATTCAGTTTTGGAAGTCTGCCAAAGGGTGTCTCGAATGGCGCTTGTTGGATGATTTTTTGCTTACTTCAACGCATGTTTCGAATTATTGTACTACGCAGAGTTTGATCGACTTTACGTTTTCTTCTACCAACATTACGCCGAGTCTTCTCTTTATTGTTTGAATTGTTCTTTCGACCGACCCACAACCGTGATGATTGCCAACGGGGCAAAATTTTTGCTCAATGTTATTATCAAGGCAAAACTTTTCAACGCATTTCCTTAAAACTCCAAAAATTGGTCTGTTCTTATTGATTCGTGTTTTATATGAGTGTCGATATAGGAGCGTTGAAGTTTTATCGAGGATTTAGTCCCCCCCATAGATTTTGTAACTTTGAGTGAAAGAAAATTCGGAAAACAGTCGATTGATACCAGCAGATAGATCTTTTTCTCTTTGTGATCTTCCATCGGACCGGCGTAGTCCAATTGGACTTTTGTCCCAGCTGCGGGAGCAGTGGAAGAGGTTTCGTTGAACTTTTCGGAAATAAGTATTTAGCATTTTAACCAAAACTAGTACTTTCCCTGCGCTCCTCGGGCAGATTGATCAATCCTTTATGCATATGGACCGCCACAAATAGTTCGACAAATCAAGCGTATTCTCCTGTCCTGGATGGCCTCGATGGATCCTCATCATAACAGCGGGTATGATTTGTCCTGGAACTGATAGCATATTAACTACTCTTATACAGTCGTCGATGACTGACAACTGATTCCAGAGTGGGTTCTTTTATGGCCCATTAACTCGAATCCTGCACGGTCGTTCCGTTCTACGACCCGTATTAAGCGATCCATCAAAAATTTTCGGAGATGAGCTCAGCCAGCAAGTTCTGGTCAAACTGTTTTGAGAAGCTAATGATTCCTATTTCTCCTAGCTGCTCTTTTTTCTGAAATATCTTCTTCTTGAAAATTTATTTGACCCTTGCTGACTGTTGTTTGACACTCACCTCTGGACTGCAATCCCCCATATTTTTGAGTGCTCCTCCCCCATTCAAATTTCTGTACTGGTAATTTTTGTATTTTTCATTTATTTTCTTCTCATATTATTCTCGTATTAACGGTCGAAGTTTATCCGTGAGGTTAGCAGCGTTGAGTATAAACTTAGAGAGGTGGTTTATGCTTCCCAGAAATAATGTAAGTTGTTTCAAGAATTTTGGATGATCTAATTTTTATATGGCCTCAGCTTTTGTAATTTTAGGTGTAACTCCGTTTTCTGACAATTTATGTCCCGGCCAATTCACCTCATTCATGAAAAATCCACTCTTTGACATTTTGGGAGATAAGCTTTTTTGATCTAGTTTGCCTAGTACCTCCTTAACCAATTTTTAGTGTTCAGATTTGGTACCCTTGGATAATTTCAAAATATCATCCAGAAAGCAGAACGTATTCTTTGCATTGATAATGGTGCGATCCATCGCTTTTCGAAATTCTGCTGGCATATCAGACAGGCCATAGAATACGTTAAGAAACCTATATGTACCGGTCAAATGTCCCCCAAATTTGTTAAAACTGCATTGTTTGGCAGTTTCCGCGGCCAGTTTCAGTTGGCTTTTGTGCCTACTGACTTTGCAGTGACAGTTTGATCCTCGCTGACTATCGAACGACACTCACCTCTGACGTGCAATCCTTATCCTCGGCGGTTAGGTCCACCTCTATA